CCCTCCTCCCAGCCTGAGATGGCCCAACCCAGAAGGGAGGGTCCATTTTTAGTTTTAGAGTATATATGGGAGGGAGAGAGTACTTATTGTTCAGTTAGCTCTGATGAAGAAGGGGACCCCCTTCAAAAAGGTGTCAGCTGTACCCTGAGTGTCTACCCCTATGATGGGACTCACGCAGGCTCTACTATTCTAAAAGTTCCCTTGAGGACTTACATGCTTGATTTGCTTCGCTGTTTGTGAATATTATTCTGTATTCAATAAAATTTGGTTTACTGAGGTAATGCGCAAGGTTGGTGCGCTGTTTTGTTTCGCTTCGCTGTGCTGGATAGCACTTGCCCTTGTACATACCAGCAACCTGAAGGGCTACACTCCAAAGCACCACCCGAATTCGCTGCCTGAGCTCCAGGTACTGATTTGCAGACACAGTCCTGGGGTATGTTGCAAGAACGATCCGCAGCAGCCTCGGGAACTCTGATGCCAGGTCCATATCTCCACTGGGGTGACCGACGTCTTCTTTCCTGATCTTGAATCCGGTGGTGGTTTGGACGTGTTCACAGCCAGGAAGCACAATCCCACCGCTTGCCACCAATGTAATGGAACCGTCCCAGCCTGCGCTCAGTACTTCTGTTAGAATACCGCTTCCCCGTCCGAACACCGACCACAGACACCACAGATTTGAAGTAAGCCAGAAAGTAGACTAGTTTATTTTGAACACAGATACAAGATATAGACACTCAAGAGACAAATCCCCCCTCCCTGCATAATGTCACAGGGCGGGGCAATCTACATTTAGTAACAAGAGACACACAGGTATTCAAACTTCACTCCAGCAGACAGTCCCATCAGGAGGGAGGGCTGCTGGAGACAACCCCCACTAAGCTAATACACATAAACACATACATCCCATAATAGTTTGCTCCCAAGCAAGACAAACATAGAAACAATGGGATGCAACCACATAACACCAAACAATCCACAACCCCCCTGCCCCACCTATCTTCTAGACATGTCTACACAATATTAGGACAGATCACCCTGTACCCCTAACAGGCACAGGGTGACTATCAGCACCTGTGGTGGTGAGCTCTTAATCCAAAGCTTGGGGTTCCCCAGGGCGCGGAGTCTAAGCCCCAGCCTGCTTGTTCACCAGAGCCCCTGATGGTGGGAATGGACCTGGAGCAGGCTGGAACCAGGTCGCGGCCCCCAGGTACACCCAGCTGTGGTAGAAGAGACCGTTAGCGGGAGCGGGGTGCAATGGGAGTAGACTAGCAGATCCAGAAGACAAGCCGAAGTTGGGACAGGTGGAAGACAAGCAAGGTCAGGAACTAAGCCAGGGTCGGTACACAGGTGGACGATGTAGGAGAGAAGTCAGGGACAAAGCCAGGGTCGGTACACAGAACACTAGACTGGATACTTGGAAGAACACTGGGGAGCATAGACAACAAACGTTGCTCAGGCAATGTGGGACAGACTGAGCAAGTCGTAAATAGACAGGCAGACAAGGAGGCGGGCCAGGAAGTGATGAAAAGGAAGAACATAAAACCCAGGGAATAGCAGACGACGCCCATAGGTGAGCAGAAAGAGACACACACATGAAGGAAACACAAACAGCAAGGAGGTAAGACAAAGCAACAGGAGGCTGCAGGCTAACTTGTGACAGTGACTTACACATAAGAGGGATATGGGGAGCTGAGACAGGGGTCTCCCCACCTCTCCAAAGTGAGCTGTGTTCCATGAGCCTCCCACCCAAAGTGACTCCCATCACAGTCCACCTTTAAATAAGAAACTGGTGCACCTCTCCAAAGGTGGGAATCTGCCAAGTAGGAATCTGGACAAACACCAGAAATGCTGGAGGTATGGCCTCTTCAGGCACCTAGCCAGGAACTGCAGCAGGCTGGAAGCCAAAAGCAACCACAGTCCGCTGTTAAACTATTAGCTCCCGCTGCTGAGGGATGACTCCTGGAACCAGCAACCCAAGGTCCCACCAGACCATAAGCCATGGTCACACCCAGTCCAGTGATCACTGCCTTGGTCAATGGTCAAGAGGTCCCCTGCTTGATTGACACGGAATCTGAAGTGAATGTCATGGAATATGATTTCTACACACAGAGATTCAGGACTAGAGACCAACTGGACCCCCTGGCTATCAAAGCGAACAGTAACCTGACTATCCTGATGGATGAAGATTTATATAGAGGATCAAGTGACTGAAAGCATGGGGGTGGTGGTGGCTCGCTGCCCACTCTGCAGTACCCATTGTCCTGGGTATGAACATGTTAGAGGACTTGGGCTTCCTCCACTTGCTGGCCAAGCTAGAGCATTAAGGCCGGCAGGCACGGGGCTGTGGCCTGAGAGCAGTCTGGCTCAATGTGATCTAAGCATTTGAGGCCCACCAGCAGGCAATTAGGAGACAGCCAGAAATGGTGGGGGTGGTCCGCATGCTCCCCAAGCTGCTCCTAGACCCCTTTCAAGAGGTGATCTGGTCCCTGTCCCTCGGGGCTCACAAAAAACTGCAGGGGGCCACGGTAATGGTGAAGCCATGCAAAGACACAGGGGTACCAGGGGAATGGCTGACAGCCCATATTTTATCCAAAGTGCATAAAGGGAAAGTGCTAGTCAAGCTGATCAACTTGGGAACCTCCCTGATTCCATTCCCTAACCAGACCACCATTGCAGGTCTCTACATGGTGCTCAGTCATTGTGTCTCCTAGGCCCAACCAGGCGTGGAACCTGCTTGCACTCCATTTACAGGCTACTATGTCCTCTCTGATGAGGAGCAATATAGAATGTTACTGGAACAGGACATTCCATTCTGTCCCTTGCCAGAATGGCGACTCCTCCACCAGAAGCAGCGGCCCTGAAGATTAAGGCTACACCAAGGCCATAAGACCAACCCATCCACACAGGGAAACGCTTCATCCATCTGAGAGCCACATTCCCTTAGCTCTCTGCCAAGAGATTAAGGAACTGTCAAGGTCCTACCTTTCTTCAGAGCTTGTGCATCTCCATGAGCTGGCCTCCATCTTGGTTTTCTGCAAAGCATGGTGGGAACCTTTATGCCTTCAGGCTTCTGCGGCTCCTCCTCAGAAGGGTGTGGTTGAGCACATTTAAACCTGCTGTCTGCAAGTGTGCTCTGCACTTGTGTCCTGTATGTTGCCCTGTTGCAAGCTCTTGTGTTGTTTCCATTGCTCTCCTGGTAACCGACTCGGCTTGGACAAGACTACTCTCTGTGTTAACCCTTTATCTGACCTCCCGTTGTTGAACCCGGCCCGTGACCTGAGTATTCTTTGCCTACCGTCTAGTACTGTCTGCTCCATTGTTATTGACCCGGCTTGTCTGACTACTCTACTCGTGATCCCATCTAGCTCCCACCAGCTGTACGCCATTGGCGGCAGTCGTTATCGCAGCTGGGGTCACTCGGGGGGCCGCGACCTGGTCTCAGGCTGCGTCAAGTCCATCCCCACCATCAGGGGCCCTGGTGAAGGGTAGCCTGGGGCTTAGACTCCGCGCCCTGAGGGACTCTGGTCTGTGGGTAGTGGCTGTCGTCAGTCGCAGCGTGACCGTACCATAGGCCTGCCTGCCCATTCCATCGTTCCTGCCCTGACAGGAACTGATCCACAACACATTGCAGAGTGGGGCCATACATACAGGAAAGCCACAGCCCATGGGCCACCCCAGTTATGCTGGTATAAAAAAAGATGGCAGCCTATGGTTCTGCATGGACTATCACAAACTAAACTACTGCATCTACCGGGATGCCTACCCGCTACCCACTGTCGGGGCTCCCAGGTGTGACCAGAGGTGTGTGACTGACGCAGGGAAACGCAGACTTCAGATATGTGATAAACAATATAATTTATTAACACTAACAATACAAACATAAACGCAGTGCAATACTAAACATAATACAGTGCAAACAAACCAACCACCCACAGATAACAGTACATACAAGCAAGCGTCGTCAGGCAGGCCGGGTCAATATCAATAGGGCAGGTAGGTACAGGGGGAGCAAGCGGAGATTGGTCGGGGTCACAGGCCAGGTTCAGCAGGTAGCTAGCAGCGTAGTACAGAGGGTCAGGCAGAGGGATGGTCAGGGTCACAAGCCAGGGATCAGAACAGGTAGCAGGCAGCGTAGTACAGAGGGTCAGGCAGAGGGATGGTCAGACAAGCCAGGGATCAGAACAGGTAGCAGAGAATCAGACAGGAACAGAGAGCAGGAACAGGATACAGGGCCCAAGAGAAACACAACACCAAGGCAGAGTCTAAAAATCTGGCCATCCCTTAAATACCCCAGCATAATCAGTTCCAGGTGTTAGCTGGCTGCAAAGTTGAGTCTCTGATTGCTGGGAGCCTCCGCTGGCCAGCCCTGGTACTGCAGATCAAAAAGGCAGGCGAGTCCCACCATTGCTGGCTAGTCCATTCCTGACAGTACCCCCCCCTCAAGGAGCGGCTCTCAGGACGCTCCAAACAGTCCTAGCTGGGCAAAATGTTCCAACGCCCGGGTCTGGTAACTGGCGGGATATCAAAGACTGGCACACCGGGCAGGACTCCGGGCAGCGGCACACCGGGCAGGACTCCGGGGCAGCGGCACACCGGGCAGAGGCACATCGGGCTGGACTCCGGGCAGAGGCACATCGGGCTGGACTCCGGGCAGAGGCACATCGGGCTGGACTCCGGGCAGAGGCACATCGGGCTGGACTCCGGCAGAGGCACATTGGGCTGGACTCCGGCAGAGGCACATCGGATTACCAGGCGAAGCAGCAGGCAGCGGGCCACCAGGCGGAGCAGCAGGCACCGGGCCCCCGGGCGGGGGCAGCAGGCAGCGGGCCCCCGGGCGGAGCAGCAGGCAGCGGGCCCCCGGGCGGAGCAGCAGGCAGCGGGCCCCCGGGCGGAGCAGCAGGCAGCGGGCCCCCAGGCGGGGCGACAGGCATCGGGCCCCCAGGTGGGGCGACAGGCATCGGGCCCCCAGGCGGGGCGGCGGGCACCGGACCCCCAGATGGAGTGACAGGTCTCGGGCCCCCAGGCGGAGCGGCGGGCGCCGGACCCCCAAGTGGAGCGACAGGTCTCGGGCCCTCAGGCGGAGCGGCGGGTGCCGGACCCCCAGATGGAGCGACAGGTCTCGGGCCCCCAGGCGGAGCGACAGGTCTCGGGCCCTCAGGTGGAGCGACGGGCGCCGGACCCCCAGATGGAGCGACAGGTCTCGGGCCCCCAGGCGGAGCAGCGGGCGCCGGACCCCCAGGTGGAGCGACAGGTCTCGGGCCCCCAGGCGGAGCGACAGGTCTCGGGCCCCCAGGCGGAGCAACAGGCGCCGGACCCCCAGATGGAGCGACAGGTCTCGGGCCCCCAGGCGGAGCGGCGGGCGCCGGACCCCCAGGTGGAGCGACAGGTCTCGGGCCCCCAGGCGGAGCGGCGGGCGCCGGACCCCCAGGCGGAGCGACAGGTCTCGGGCCCCCAGGCGGAGCGACAGGCGCCGGACCCCCAGGCGGAGCAACAGGTCTCGGGCCCCCAGGCGGAGCGGCGGGCGCCGGACCCCCAGGTGGAGCGACAGGTCTCGGGCCCCCAGGCGGAGCAGCGGGCGCCGGACCCCCAGGCGGAGTGACAGGTCTCGGGCCCCCAGACGAAGCGGCGGGCACCGAGCCACCAGGCACGACAGTGGGCACCGAGTCGTCTGGCAAGACTGCGGGCACCGAGTCGTCTGGCAAGACTTCGGGCACCGAGTCGTCTGGCAAGACTGCGGACACCGAGTCGTCTGGCAAGACTGCGGGCACCGAGTCAACTGGCGGAACAGCGGGCACCGAGTCGTCTGGCAAGACTGCGGGCACCGAGTCATCTGGCAAGACTGCGGGCACCGAGTCGTCTGGCAAGACTGCGGGCACCGAGTCGTCTGGCAAGACTGCGGGCACCGAGTCGTCTGGCAAGACTGCGGGCACCGAGTCTTCTGGCGGAACAGCGGGCATCGAGTCAACTGGCGGAACAGCGGGCATCGAGTTCAACTGGCGGAACAGCGGGCACCGAGTCGTCTGGCAAGACTGCGGGCACCGAGTCGTCTGGCAAGACTGCGGGCACCGAGTCGTCTGGCAAGACTGCGGGCACCGAGTCGTCTGGCAAGACTGCGGGCACCGAGTCAACTGGCGGAACAGCGGGCACCGAGTCGTCTGGCAAGACAGTGGGCTCCGAGTCAACAGGCACGACAGTGGGCACTGGGTCATCTGGTATCGGATTGTCTGGCTCGACAGCGGGCATCGGGTCACCAGGTATGACAGCGGGCACTGGGTCACCAGGCATCAGGTCATTTGGCTTGCCAGCAGGCACCGCGTCATCTGGCAAGGCAGTGGGCACCGGGTCACCAGGTATGACAGCGGGCTCTGAGTCAATTGGCACGACAGCGGGCACTGGATCAGGTACCGGATCATCTGGATCAACAGCGGGCATCGAGTCAACTGGCCTAATAGGATCGTCGGGCTGGATCAGTTCATCATGCTGAGTAGCGGCATCAGGCTGAATGCAGGCATCAGGCCGAGTAGAGGCTTCAGGCTGAGTAGAGGCTTCAGGCTGAGTAGAGGCATCCGGCTGAAGAGAGGCATCCGGCTGAAGAGAGGCATCCGGCTGAAGAGAGGCATCCGGCTGAAGAGAGGCATCCGGCTGAAGAGAGGCTTCAGGCTGAGTAGAGGCTTCAGGCCGAGTAGAGGATTCAGGCTGAGTCACGGAAGGCAGGTTCACTGGTTTGGATACTGGCAGGATGGTATTGGTTGGAAAGAATTTTCGCTTTTTTCTGGTTTTAACTACTGGAGCACTGCAAGTAAACGCAGGTCTGCAAACGAATGGAGCAGCTGGAGACAGAGAAAAACTGGAGGATGGAACAGGAGAGGGAGCAGTTGCTACAGAGGGCTTTTTTACAGGGTTAAAGGCAGGATAGGTGCAGCGAGTGGGAACAGGGGACTGACATGCGGTAGATAGCCAAGTATACTGGGCTGTAACTGGAGGAGCTGGTGGGAATACAGGAGTAGAGTTAGAAGCAGGACTGGGTTTTTGTAAGCTGACTGAGGCTGGGTGCAACAAGTCTGTCCATGTCTGCAGTATGGGTTGAACAAAGCTGAGCTTACACAAAGCCTGTCTGGTCAATGACTGCACTGCGTTTATACAATCTCTTAGTGTCTGTGGTGAACATGTGGAATAACGCTCCAGAAAGTAACCCGCATCATCCTCTAATAACCACACCAGGGACTCTACCTGGTCTGCACTAAATGGTGGCAAAAATTCATCCCTGCATTCGGGGGAACCAGATGAAACCAACTCAGCACAAACCTCAATCAAAGGCTGCACCTCAGAGAACTCTGTGCCCTGATCTACTAGAACATGAGCGAGCCGTATACATTCTAGTAGTTGATCCCTGGGATACTCCTTCAGAGTTTGATAAGCATACTCCCTGTCATCAAACACTAGCAGATATAAATACACAACCTCATCCAGATCCATCCTTCCCAGCAACAAGCCAAGATGGCTTCCCTGTGCAGCCACTTCTGGTCAGGATTGGCCTTGGTGTAATGTCGGGGCTCCCAGATGTGACCAGAGGTGTGTGACTGACGCAGGGAAACGCAGACTTCAGATATGTGATAAACAATATAATTTATTAACACTAACAATACAAACATAAACGCAGTGCAATACTAAACATAATACAGTGCAAACAAACCAACCACCCACAGATAACAGTACATACAAGCAAGCGTCGTCAGGCAGGCCGGGTCAATATCAATAGGGCAGGTAGGTACAGGGGGAGCAAGCGGAGATTGGTCGGGGTCACAGGCCAGGTTCAGCAGGTAGCTAGCAGCGTAGTACAGAGGGTCAGGCAGAGGGATGGTCAGGGTCACAAGCCAGGGATCAGAACAGGTAGCAGGCAGCGTAGTACAGAGGGTCAGGCAGAGGGATGGTCAGACAAGCCAGGGATCAGAACAGGTAGCAGAGAATCAGACAGGAACAGAGAGCAGGAACAGGATACAGGGCCCAAGAGAAACACAACACCAAGGCAGAGTCTAAAAATCTGGCCATCCCTTAAATACCCCAGCATAATCAGTTCCAGGTGTTAGCTGGCTGCAAAGTTGAGTCTCTGATTGCTGCTGGAGCCTCCGCTGGCCAGCCCTGGTACTGCAGATCAAAAAGGCAGGTGAGTCCCACCATTGCTGGCTAGTCCATTCCTGACACCCACTCTGGAGGAATCCCTCATGGCCCTGGGCCATGCTAATTCCATCTCGACCCTCGATCTGGTGAGTGGTTACTGGTAAGTATCAGTACAGGAGCAGGTCCATGAGAAAACTGCCTTCATCGTATCCCTGGGTCTATTTGAATTTGTCCACATGCCATTTGGGTTGAGCAATGTTCCCGGCACATTCCAGCAGCTAACTGAAAGATGCCTGGGAGACATCAACTTTAGTCTACCTCAATAACATTATCATCTTATCCAAGTCCTTTAAAGATCATATACAACACCTGCACTGGGTGTTGGTAAAGAATCCCAAGTACTAAAAGGGGCAACAAGCTGGAGCCCAAGTGAGACTGCGCTCTGTATAGCATGGAGAAACAGCGTTTCCCTCTGACTCCGGTGTATGACGTGGTCTTGGAGAGGCCCCATACCTGTTAAGCGTTCACTCCACCGCAACCGGCTAAGACCTTGTGGGCTAAGTGGAGACTGCTCTACCAAGCTTCAGGAAAAAAACAGCTCTATGGATATTCCGCTTGTGCATGAGGTCCCATAGGAATGGTACTTGATGCCTCTTGATCTAGAACCTCCGTTTCCTGAGAGCTTGGAAGAGGCTGGCCCCAGCCTGAAATGTATGGGCAATTCAGAAACCTCAGCCCTACTGAATGCAAGTTCCGCTGATTCCATGAACTCAGCCAGTATACTAGCCTCTAGCCCAGAAGGAGGAGATGCAGCTGGCTCTGCTGATCCACAACCCTTTGGAGCCATGGAGGCCCCGGTAGAAAACTAGGACTCTGGCTTTGACCCCACAGAAGACGGTGGGGTCCACTGTCCAATCAGGTCCAATTGTGGATAATTACCTGCATAGTATTCTGATTATATTGTATACATTTTTCTTGCATATTTGCATTATTACTGTTCATATTGATCTGTGTATTGTTTGATGCCGGGGACAGCATTTGTTAAAAGGGGAGGAGTCTAGGCAGGTGCAGTCTAATTTCTCCACTGTGGCACTTGTCCAGATTGGTGCTGCAACTGGAGGGAAAGTCGGTCTCTTCTCTGTGTTTTCTTCGGTTCTCTGGAGCAGATTTCCAGTTTGCTGTGCTGCATCCAGGTGACGCTGGTGGCCTTCTTGGGTCACACAGAGTCTTTTTAAGCCCCTGCCCCCAGGTTTTGTCATACATGTGCGAAGTGGCTAGTGTAGGGAGAGCATACTCATCTGTCAGGACAGCACTAGCAGCAGGGAGAGGTTCTGGAGGAGTAGATAAAGTTTTGGGTCTACGTCTGTACTTCAGTAAGCTTCTGTTTGGGTTGAACTGGCCAAGCCGCATTCCACCCTCCGTGGCAAGCACTGTCTTCAGTTTGGGCACATACACTCTGCTGCATTGACTGTAAGTTCCCCATCAGACAAGCAGTTTTGTACTGCTTGCAAGTTCTTCAACACATCACTTATTGCACTCCGACCCTCTACTGCTAGTGCTACTGCACCACGCTGTACCTACCCAACAAGCTTAAAACCTAAAAACAAATACTATTCTTCAGGCTGCAAATGTTTAATTAAACATGTGCGCAAAAATATAAAAAATGGCAATAGTAGACAAATGAAAAACCACTTCAATACTGGGCACTTTCACCTCCTACCTGCCCAGGCCAATTTTCAGCTTTCAGCGCTCTCACACTTTGAAGGACAACTGTGCAGTCATGCAACACTGTACCCATATGAAATTTGTATAATTTTATCACATAAATAGAGCTTTCTTTTGGTGGTATTTAAGCACCTCTGGGGTTTTTATTTTTTGCTAAACAAACAAAAAAAGACAGAAAAAAAGGTTAATATTTCAGTTATAACATTTTGCAAATAAGTAATTTTTCTCTTTCACTGATGTGCGCTGATGAGGCTGCACTGATGGGCACTGAGAGGCTGCACTGATAACGGACACTGATGGGCACCGATAAGGCTACACTGATGAGGGGGCACTGATGGGCACTGATATGCTGCACTGAAGTGCACTGATAAGCTGCACTGCTGGGCACTGATGGGGCTGCACTGATGATCAGGGCACTGATGATGAGTGCCCTGATTACCAGTGTAAACATAATGCTAACAGTTTTGCAGGGTATTGGCTGTCCTTTCCTCACACAGACACAGTGTGTGATGAAAAGACTGCTGATAATTGGCAAAGCTGTTTACATGTGATCAGCTGTGATTGGACAGAGCTGATCACATGATAAAGGGCCACTGTGACTGGCCCTTTACCACAATCTGTGATCAGATGTATCCAAAAGTCTTAGAGCGCACCCCAGGGGGCACGTATGAAGCGCATTCTGGAAGGACATCCATGGACACCCTCCTTACACAAGAGAACTGCACTGTAGCCATCTTTTGGTTAGGTGGCTAAAAGCAATATAAAACAAAAATGGTATACATTACAGTTTACAGTCCTTAGATGTGGTGGCTGTATTTTTTTTTTTTTTTGT